TATCTCAAACTGAACAATACATATTTTTAAACATTATTGTTACAAAACCTATTTTTTCATTTTTGGGGGTTCCTTCCTTTTTTTCCTCATGTCCCTTTCCCTCCCCCTCCCCATTAATCTCAGAATCCTTGGGATGTTTGTTGATGTCCAGTAGTTTTTGAAAGTGTTTTATGTTGTTAAATGTTTGTTATATAAATGTCGAATATTTGTTGTTATTGTTCTGACTTGTTTTGCTATAAATTTTTTTTTCCAAATTCACTTTGTGCAAACTGACTGCATTTCATTCTTTCTTGTTATTATTACAAAGACCAATCTATTCCTTGATTTTTCTTCCCCCATCAGGATGGTATACTTGCCTTTGTTTTACTCTCATTCAAGCTATAACTCAACAACAAAAACAGTAAAGTCCTGCCTCATACATTAAACTCATTAAACTCAGATCACTGAGTAGAATATGCAGCAGCCTGAATCTCCCAAAGACAAAGGTTCTGCAGAATGCCTAGGTTGACAGAGACAGAGGCACCATCCCTATACCCACTGCACAGGGCAACTGGCTTCCACGAATACTTGGAAAGCAGAGAGAGACCTTGCATAAAACTTGCTACTAAAAATCTCTAGTCAAGGTGTTAAAGGGTATATTTTGTCACAAAATCTTGATTAAAAATAACGTCCTGGGTGCTGGTTCTCACAAAAGCCTAAACTTGGACAGTCATTGCTATGTGGATTTTTTTTCTGATCTTTAGTTGTGAAACTGTTCTGATTATGCATTCCAATCTGTACTGCAACGCATATCAATATCTAAGATTTCCTACCACCTCAGGGTCCAGGCCTGGTGAAGAGTTCCTGCCTACTGTCCTTCCCCTGCCACCTGTCTTCAGCCTCAGCAGTGATCCTGACAGATGGCTGAATCCAGACTAGAACTGAAATACAAAATAGTCAGCTGTAGTCAACAGAACACATTTGAAGATTAGTCCAGAAAAAGAATAGGTTTGACATGCAATTTGCAGCAACATGGATGGAGCTGGAAGGGATCATGCTCAGCGAAACAAGCCAGAAAGAAAAAGAAAAATACTGGATGGTCTCACTCATAGCAGGAATCTAGAAAACCTAAATAAGGGACCAGGAAAAAGAATAACTATAAGAAAGAAAAAATCAAAATCAACAACCATGAACCAGAGACACTCTACGGGGGGGGGGGGCAGGAAAAGGAGGGATTGGGGTCAAAATAAGGGGGTAAGGGGAATATAAACATAAAATTTAAATGAATGAATGAATAAATGATGCTGGAAAATTGGGGGGAAAAAGAATAGGTTTGAATGGATTCCAACATGACAAATGCTTTCACTCATACCATTTCCAATAAAATATAAGACAAAAAAAAAAACTCAACAATTTTCGATTTTGCCCTTGTCAACAGTTAAAACAATACTGAATACAGTAGCATAGTCCCAATGCAGCAAGAGAAAATTAAGCTCCAGAGTTTTTTTTTTTTTTAAGATTTATTTATACAAGAACCGGGGTACAGGCCAGATGTGCAGGAGGATGAGAGGATTCACCACAGAGTGGGGAACAGAATAGGCAGACTGATGAAATACACTGTTAAGGGGAGCAGCAGGTGAGACAGGAGAGGTCTGCTGCGCCATGTGGATTTCTCCCTGGCTGGCCAGGATAGAACCCCCGCTGCAGAGGCTGAGGACAGCTTCACAGTGCGATGCTCAATTGCCTGCGCCACCAGGGAGGCCCAAGCTCTAGAGTTTAATAGATATTATCTGCATGGTAATAGAAGTGTATCTGTAAGTCTAATTTACATAGATATTATATATTTCAAGGATGAAGAGACATTTTAAAAATATGAGATTACTTAGCAAATTAGCCATGTGACCACAATTATAAAATACTTATTTAACTTAAGAGAATAAACCATTTAAACAAGTAAAAAGCAAGTTAATACTATTGCTAAGAAAATGACTAATCATTCATATTTTTTTTAAAACATAGGTACTGAAGGACATCACCAGTCTAAGCTCCAAAGAAATAATTATGAAATCTGAATGTATTTCTCCCAAATATATTGTGTATATACTACAGATTGGTTTTTTTCCTAGCTTACTTAGTGATGTTTAACTCTAATGCAGACTATCTTCCCAGTGCTTTTCCACTTCAGCACCTCAGTTACCTGGTACCAGCTCCTTTGTCAAACCCAACTGAAGAAATTAGGAGGGGAATCTAATCAACAATGCCAAAGAGGAGATCTGATTTCCATGAATATTTCTTGTTCATTTCTGATCTTTACCCAAGTGGCACAGAACTCAGAATAGAATAGATACACTCTAAGTGTTTGTGAAATGAAAGGATAAATTAGGAAAAGACAGACCAAAAAACCAACATGTAACACTATTAGATTTATTATATTAGTACACATTCTATCACTTTATTAGTAAAAAATTAGCAGGAAGAACAAAGGCCCATACCAATGCACTTCAATTCATCATTCCTTACAATAAATCAAACCAACAAAGAACAGCCAAAAGAAGTTAATGTCCCCAAGTTACCCTTCCCCACAGAAAGCATGAGGACAGCTTGTCTCAGCACTTCTGAGAAAGGTCATGCTGTTGTTGCTACTGTGACATGATGGTAGGAAGAAAAAAAAAATGGTTTATTAGTTAATTCCCCAAGAGTATTATTTCTGGCATTGGACTAAGTAATGAGAGGTGATGGCCTAAGCAGTGTAGCAAGGAGAGGTACAAGGGGTAAATGTTAGAAATAATTCACTCTATATTCTGAATGATTCACTTTCATATGGGCCATGCTAATAAGTCAAACAGACACTATAATAACAAATCAAGCAATCATGATGCAATAGAAGCTACATCCAGAATCATGGATAAAAACTTACCACCTAGAAGGAAAATTTATTTTAAAAAGCATCCAGAGGTGGAAGATAAAAGAAACACATTTCATATGGTTAGTTCTTATGATAGCTGCTAAATGTTTACCACACTTATAACAGCATGCATTACCAATAATTTAAAAAACTATTTTAAATAGACAGAGCCCAAAACCAGACAATCCTAAGTATGTAGCTCACATTTTAAAAAATAAGCTGAGCACTAATAATTATCAAAAACATAACATTTTGAAATTTACAACATAATTACTTGTATTTACAGTTTTCTCCTTTTTATATGTAACTCTGCTACAATAACCAATTAACAATTGTTAACCAATTGTTAATTATTAATGATTAGCATAATTCAAGATAACATTAAAATATCCATTTATAAATTCTAGCTGCCAAAAAGAAGTGTGATGCTTCATTTAATCTCCTTTCAATTCCTCAAAAATGGTCTGAAGACAGAGAAAGAGCAAATCCAAGAATACAGTTCTGAACCTGTGGACTGCAGACACTGGTACCCAAGACTTGTCTCAACATGAAGCTGAGTTATCTGAGTAATGATTAAACCTCACAACTTTATTTGCTCCATTAAATTATTGTGATCAAGATGTCTATTTGAAAGTATTACTAAGGCAATATTAGCTTTTTTAAAAATACAACTTTTAATAGAAACAAATGCCCCCCTACATCTAACAACTCTCACAGATGTTCTGAGAGCCTCAACCTTTAGATAAGAAGTGAACTGTTACCAGATCATTTTTTCCCCTCTCATCATCACACATTTTCTCAGCCAACAGATGCTAAATGCACAACTGTCACATGAAAATGGGGCCTCAAAATATCTGATGTGAAGAAGATGCCTTGTGCTGGGAATTGCTGGCTTGGATCAGTGTTATATGTGGACAAGCGTACTCAAAATTATCTCCTTCTGCTGGAAGTTAGGTTGAGAAAATGAGTAGGAGAGAAAGAACAGGACAGGGTTCCAACTGTTATCACAAGATTGGCAGAGAAGAAAGCAGTGAAAACTTGCTTCACTAATCACAGAAAAACAGAAATCAGGCCAGTATACTGAGCGGTCATCCCCACAACAAGCTGCGTGAGATAATTAGACAGTGGAAATACCAGTGCTTCCATTTCCTCAAGATGTCTTACCCTAATGCCAAGAATGTCCACTTTAGGTATAATTTTAAGCCATATAATCTCTGGATACATGTCTTTAAGTCACTAAGTTATTCTAAATACACCTCTTGCAAGCTGCAAAAGGAACTTCCTGCTTGAGTACTGTGAATTTTGTGAAGTTTCTAAAATTATCATTCTAACACTGTCTCTCCTCATTTTTTTGACTATAGAGCCCTCTCTCCCCCTCAGTACATGTTAAAGATTCCATGCAGCTTCATTTTACCTTTCTTAAAGTTGAGCACTTTTAAGTTAGGAAATTCTGTGGTCTTTTAGAACGGTAAACAAATTCAGATTGATTAAGTACTAATTCTTTTAAATCATTTTTTTAATTTAAGGTAAGTCACATTCTCAAAATCAAGATTTTCTTTAATTATAAGAAACATTAGCTCTTCACAACAAATGGATGTGGGACTATGAAATAATTTCTGCTTCAAGTATATATTGATCAATACTTAAAACTAAAATATTTTCATTTTCTCCAGTATGTATACTGCTTAACTAAATGCTAAAATCCTACACTATGAAAGATGAAGGTTTATATAATTATATATTTAAGATGTTCAACCTATATTTTAAATATACTATGAGAAGGTAATGAAGTTGTTTTGGTATTTCAACTATTAAAAGAGCAGGTGATCTGTGGAGCATGGAAAAGGCTGCATTCTTAAGACGTACTATTGTACTTAGTGAAGACACTGTTGACATTTTCAGACATACTTCATTATATCCTCTTTCTATTATTGTATATCGGCCATTTCAATTGACCAAAATTCAAGTAAAAGCTGTCTCTGTCCTCTAGTGAAGAACAAAGACACAGAACCACACACATTACAGATAAAACAACTCCAGACACACAAACAATATGGTATTCACTGAGAATTACACTGTGTGTGTCTATTAGACAACATCACACACCTACACTTACATGGCCGTGGAGATCTGTATTAAGGAGCATCATTGCACAGGTCAGGCAATGGACTCCATCTAAGGAGAGAGACAAAGACAGAAAGTATTAATTCACTGTTTTCTGTTGGATTCTTCATTACTATCGCTAAAATAGCATACATCAAGAACTTTAAAAACATGATACTGTGGCTAGGCACAATAAATCATATTGCTTCAAAGAGACAGACAATAGGTAAGAATAAATTATTAAAAGGCTCTCAATGGACAGTTGGACTCTACTGGTTATCAAGTAAATTATTCCTGGCTCTCTAGAGAACAACTTGAGAGTACGTAAGCCTTGAAATAAGTGTCCTTTGACACAGTAAATTGACTTTGAGGGCTTTACACTAAGGAAATATGGATCTACACAAAATACATTGGTAGCCAATATATTGGTGTATTGGTAGCCACTATACGGAAACACTCCTTATAGTGGGGAACAAATAAATATTATCCTTCCAAAAACACAGTTCTGTTATATTGAAGTCATTAAACACGTTATTCAAATACACATGCTGAAAAAATATTTTGCAATCAATGACTATATGGAAAACACAATATATGCAGTATAATTTTATTTAAATATAAATACACCTAAGAGATTACATCACATAATATTAAAAGAATCCACAGGAGAAAGAATGTCTGGATACTGGAATTATAATTTTTATATTTTTATTTATATTTCCTCAATTTTCCACAACAGGTTATGGAAATGAAAATAAACTGAACACGGTTACTTTTGTACTTTCTTTTTTTGAGGGCAGCAGTAAAGATTAAAACCATGATTTGTATCTTTCACTGTATACTACTATTTAGGTATTTCTCTGGCTAAAAACAGATATGCAGGGATAGTTATCTTCTTTCTTGCCATTCTTTAAAGGCAACATTTAGGTTTACTGAGGATACTACGGATGAGACAAAAGTAAAACACTGAAATAATTTGTTAACATTAAACCATTAATAGGTGAAAAAAGTTGCCCAAATCAAAGGATAACTTTACTCTTATATGGAAATATCCTACATAAAGAGAGGGGAAAAGCACTAAAACCTGAGTTTCTCATTTCCAAATCTTAAATTTGTTTAACTCCTTATTTTCTCCCTGCCATTCTCAATCCAACTATGGCAGACAACAGCAATTACAGATGCAGAAAAATTTTATTGATTTATGCTAACTGTACAGAAAGGCCTGTCTAATTACTGAATTCATGAATTAAAGATAGCTCATTTTTCAGAAGTATGCCATTAAGTATAGATTTCTGTTACTAATATTTCCGAAGGAGATGCTACTAATAGTATGTTTACTTTAGTTCCAGTTTATTATCACATATTCTAAGAACATTTAAAACACCTTTCAGAAAGTATTTGTAAGACTCAGCAACTAAAAACTTTTATTTCAAAAACTTATTCACAGCCAATTGAGCACACAAATCCGTATCTCTTGTTTCCCTTTAGATTTGAAGAAAGTCCTAAATAAAAGAATCCTCATCTACTCTCTCATTCTCTAATCAATGCTGACAGAAATGAAGACAATGAATAAGTGGTCTAAACACAGTCAAAGAAAGGAATGAAGAAATACGAGTGCCCATTTTACATATAAGAATGTGGCTTTAATAATCATGTTTGGTTAATGTAGTTATAGTCTGTGAGGCAAAGTTAAGGGCAGCGTGTAACATTAATCAATATCAAGTATACTTATCCTAGTTAACTGGCAATAGTAAAGCTCAGAGATAATTACTATTTCTTGTGCATCTAGTCTCAGTGATTTATTCCAGAATTTATCAGTTTATGACAGATTCTCTGATGGGAGTGTGACTGACTTAAAAACCCTGCAAACTTCACTTTACTACAGGAATTGAAATGGAGAAAAATATTTCTCCATGGGCATTCAACAATTACAGTTTAAAGTAGATTTTTAAAAACAGTATAATACATATGAACCCAGAATTCATTAAAATCATACATCAAAGTAAGTGGTGAATGTTGATACAATGACTATAAAACAAAACACCAGTGAGCTTTGAAACCTAACCACAAAACTAAGCAGACATGCACCTCATCAAGAAGTTTAGAGACCAGGTGTATAGGAGAAGAAATAAGAAAATCAGTATTCATTTACTGCAGCACACTCTGCATGTAAAATCTCAGTGAAAAAGTGTGAGCAATTTTTAAAAAGTATATTATCATACTATGGCAGAAAGAGTATATATACAGTCATCAAAATAAGGGGGTTGCAATTGTATGGGGAATATAAAAATAAAATTTATTAAAAATAAAAAAAAGATGCTTTAAAAGGATATTTGATGACATGAGAAAATGCTCACACTGGAAGGGAAAGATAATAGAAACTAATGATTCCAATTTGATATTAAGTATTTTATATATAGAAAGAAAGACTAAAGGAAGTAAGTCATATTTAATAGTTATGTCTAGGTAGAGCTATCTAGATGATTTTCATTTTCACCTGTATAACTTTCCTTGTTTTCCAAAATAATGTTTAACTTTCATAATAAGGAAAATAACTGTAGTTAAGAAAAAATTGTAACACTTGCATCAAATTACCTTGTGAAGCAATGGTATCTGGGTTACAATAAAAATATCTATTGGAGAAGTGTATTAAAACTCTCTCTCGTTCTTGAGTTTCTCCCACAAGAGAAAACGCTTTAAAGAAATACCTAAAAAAGAATTAGGGGAACAGTGAAATTTCAGAATATGTTAACATACTTTCTGCATTTGAAAGTTCACTTCATATTAACATAAGATATTAACTATGCAAAGTAAGATATTCTACAGCTATTTCAAAAAAATGACTTAATAGATGGCCATTTAGTATCAACTTATACTGAAACTTAAATTCTGTCAAATGTCAGTATAAAAGATGACTGGGTAATAAAAAGGTGGCAATTCAAGAAAAGTCTCAGGAAGGTGAATAATTTCCTCATGTGAAGAAGTGTCAACTAGTCAATTTTAAAAGATCACTGGGTTGATAACACAAGTCTAAACACGTAACCACATAGGCTACGTTTTAAAATTCTCTGTGCATCAGAGGCTTTTCTCTTCGTCATTTTGTTATATATTGTAATTGTAATAACCACTGACCCACTGTTAAAATTGCAATTATATTTTCTTGTGCACAGATTTCTGATGTTTGTTTTACCTACTTTCACTGCATATATTATTAATTTGTTACATGAGGAGGAAATCAGAGATAAATCCTAATTTATTCCTAAAACTAGGAATTAATGCATGATAAAATTTCTTTGTACAACAGAACATATGCCAGAACCACACATTAATTTAAATCACCCTTAACTATGGGTGCTATTATGGATAAATCCAGATGACCCACATTTAATAAAATAGATGCATTTTCCTAAATGTAAAATGGGAAGAAAAAAATCATTTAAACTGTCCTATGAAATTTTACTATTGAAAGAAACATACAACAAATCTTATTTTTATTATAAAAATGTTTCCCTGTTCCTTTACTTTGTTATCTCAATGATATTAATCAAATATTTATTTCTCACAACTTCCTTTAAATGCTATATCAGAAAGCAAAGCAAAGCTATACTGTTACCTGTTTACTTTAGAATATCTATGAGGACCCCTGATTCGTGCAAAAAGCCACAGAATGAATCATTGTTGTAAATTCTATTCCAAAGATACTTTAATTCCGAGGCCTCGTTTTCATGATTTGTAAAATTAAAGGGTCATATAAAATAACCCCCAAATTTCTCCACGCTCTGTCACTTTTATAAAGTTGGTAAGATTAAATGATGAGTAGCTTTTACCTCCAGCTGCTTGGAGAAATTTACAGTAAAATGTGGTGTGAAAAGTGAGTATCAGTATGTTTAAGCCCCTTCATGTGAACAGATCCCCAAGAAGTGCTGCTGCCTGAAATAATGCAAGTGTTACACATTTTTTGCTAATTGTCATGTTGCTATTCACCTTTATTCCAATTATGTGTTAATTCCAAAGTACTGCCTTAAAAAGCTATTTGGCTATTGTAAACAAATGATTAGAAAATACATATTGTAGAATTATATATGTAAACTGTGCCTTTTCTTTTTGATCTTTCAAAACCAAATTCTCACAGATTGTGTTTTCTTCAAGACTTATCATTATCTTCTAGGTACAGAATATGAGTTCATCTGTGATCTCATGAAAATACATTTTTCTCACTTTCTACAACTTTTAATATCTAGAGTATACTCTAAGTGAAGTTTATGAAATAATCAGGGCTTAAAAAAATCATTTTAGATGCAGCATATTACTTGTTCTTCTCAGAATGAATTATTTGAGGCAAAGAAGAGAAGTGATGTTTTATCATACCTGAGAGACTGATCCAGAGTCATTCCTGTAAAATCAAAAAACTTCAGATATTCTTCTGCAACTAGTTTGCTAAATTCATTGCTATAAGAAAACAGAATAGATTTGGTTATTAAAATCAAAGCTGTTAAAATACACACACAAAAGAATAAACTCAGACGCCCGCTTTGGGACAGAACATACTTCTTGCCTAGGTGCTTTGCGACATCTGATCTTTTAAATCTGTCTAGTTGATAAAGGCGTTTGGCCAACCTTTTGGCTGCTTCTATGTTGCTGCTGGTACCATTACTGAGACTTTCTGCTGTCTCCTTTTCCACAATTTCAGTGCTCCCCATTTCAGAATGAGCCTCTAGCAGTGTTGTTTTCATCCCAGCATTGCTGTCAGAATTGAGAAAAAAAAAAAAAAAGAAAAAGATTTTTGTTTAACAAAAAAGAAAATAGCTATCATTATCATGACACTGTAGAACCAAGTAAATGAAAATTATTTCAAATCAGATTGTTTCATGCTTAATAATTCATATTTTTTTTCAGTTACAATACTTCATGCATTAAAGAATTGATGGCTTAAATACCAGACAAGTAGTTCTCAAACCTTTTGGTCTCAGAATTTTTACATTTTTTGAAAGCATGGTAGACTCCAAAGACCTTTGTTTATGTGAGCTATACCTATTAATATTCACCAAAATTTTCAAAAATCAGTTCATTTAAAAATAATAAATTCATTTCATGTAAAATATACTTTTGCTAAAAAAATAGCTATATTTTAAAAGTAACATAAAATTTAGTGAGACAAGCAACAGTGATACACATTTTTTTACAAATTCCTCTAGTGGTTGGCTTACTAGAAGATAGCTGAATTCTTCTCATAGTCACTTCCACATTTAATCTGTAACAATGTATTGGTTTTATTGAAGTAGATTAAGAAAATTGGATTCACACAGATATTCAGTTAGAAAATCAGTATTTCAATATCCTTTCTAGATAATTCTTTATTTCAGATATTCTTTTTTGATATAACACCAAAATAAGAGAAGGGATAATTGCAAAAAAGAATCTAAAATAGTATCAATGAACTTTTTGCATTCATACATTAAAACCTTACACTTGGACTGTATCTTTTATCCAGGCAAAATTCTGCAACATGCATTTGTTATTTGCAAAATATTTTTTTGACACATTTAATTATAAAACACAAAAAAAGTCACATTCATTAATGTGCACACTAATATCTTCAGAAAAGCCCTTAAGTAGTGAAAAGGTGTCAAGATTTTGGTAGCAAATATGTTTTCCAAATTCTAATTTTTGATTGAAAGCTCAAAGTTTGTCATTGCAAGCAAACATCACCAATTGTTTTCCTTAAAGCTCTAGTTTCAATAAAATGTTTGCCAATAACCAGTTTGTCAGCCATATATTCAAGAAAATATGGCATTCCATGTAAATAGGGACTAGTCTGTGGTTCGCAACTCAAATTACATACAACTGCTTTTCCTAGAGACAATCATAACAAATGCTTAATGCCTATTCTCTACTTCATCACATGTGAAATTAAAAGTGATGTCCTCATCACTTGAAAAGCAATTAATTTGTACTATTTTATCAAGGTCCTTTTTACTGGGCATTCTTTGTATCTTTTTTAAGAGATTAATTTTTTTATTTATGCATACAAGAACTGGGGTACAGGCCAGAGATGTGGGGGTAAGAGGATTCACCAGAGAAAAAGAGTGGGGAGCAGAACAGGCAGATCTACTGAAATACACTGCTGAGGGGAGCAGCGGGCGAGGTAGGAGAGGTCTGGTGTGCCATGTGGGTCAGTTCCCTGGCCAGGATCAAACTCAGGCTAAAGTGGTTGGCAATAGCTTGATAGCACTGAGACTTTAACCCCCCCGTAGCACCAGGGAGGCCCCATTGTTTGTATTTTGAATGCATAGAATTGAAGAACGTAATAGTTAGAACAGCTTAGTGCTACCTTGCTGTGTGCTTAGACTCCATCATTGCTTTTGTCCTCTCAGAGCAAATATCCACATAGTGAAGACGGAAAACAATGCTATACTGTTGTTCTAAAATAACCTTGACCTCACAAACTTACTGAAATGGTCTCAGGAAGTACCACAGACCACACAGCAAGAACCTTTACTCTAGAAAGAGGTCACAAGCTACAATCTTAGGCTGGCTGTACAATGTCACATCATACATGTGTAACATTAAAGCCAATGAAAACTTTAATTTCCAAATCTTAGCTTTTAACTTGTAACATTACAAAGCTATGTTCATAATAACCGACTACGCTTAAGTAGCCTTTCAATACAGCACAGACTTTAAGGCAGACATAGTTAGAATTCTTCTGCAATAGACTAGATAGTAAATACTTCAGACTTGCAGACATATCAGGTCCCTGCCACATATGCTTCTTTGTTTGGTTATTATATTTTAAAAATAAAAACCATTCTAGGCTAGACTGAAAGGGGTTCACAATCCTAGTGTGCATGCCCCTGCTCTATCCCAAGGGCTTGAATTATAAGCGTGACCATCTATTGTCTGAATCAGGACACTCTGAAGAGGAAACAGAGATGATAAAAATCATAATATATAGTTATAATTGTTCCAAAAAGCTAACAAGTTAAAAAAAGCATTACAAATTAAAGACTATAATGTTAAGTGACAAAAATCATTTCCCCACAAATGAATACACATTTGAGCAGAACTGCTTGATTTCTATTTTTCCGTTCTGCCTAATTTACAATTTCCTGATTCCCACTAATCCACCAACCCAGTGGTGGCCTGGTAGCTTCACTATCACTCCTTGTAGCTCTAGTGACCGCACAGCTCCTGGGGCTGCAGTGTCCCAGAACTCCCCACTGCTGCCAGAGGGCAAGCTCCTTCCAGCTCCCAGCTCACTGTATCAGCAAGAACCCCACATGCTGTTTCCTCAAAAGGGATCTAAAAAAGAGAGGTTATCCCACATTGTCTTTTAGATTCAGCTATTTGAAATTCTGTCAATGCACATGTCAACTCACACATTCCAGATGAGACTGCAGAGAAGTTGCAAGTACAAAGTGGAGGGTTAGCAAACCCATGCTGACTTATTTACTGTAACTATTAATAAAAAATACTTCATTTCTTAAAAGTCAAAGTCACATGCTAGATCACAGTCAATGCCAGGACAAGACATAACTGGAACTGACCTAAACAAACCAAGATATTTGGTAACCTTCAACCAATCGCCTTAAACAATTTTCCAACAGAAATACCCATCAATTTAAGAAAGTTGCTTCATTATGGTGAAATTTTAATGCAAATGTATCTGGATATTTTTACATCCTAAACTTTCCTTTACAGAGTTCTTCTTACCAGCTAGTTTTGAGAAATGTACCCTTCCAGAAAATTGAGTATTACAGAATAAAGAAAACTTAGGTATTACACACAGCAAAGCCACAATAAGTATACTCATAGAAGAAATTTCTTTTAAGGGACAACTCACAGTTGCTTTGTGTTTTCTCACATAATTGATAGAAATAGGAAATATTTACTCAGAACTATTTTAGCTACAATCAAGCAATTTTCATAATTATAAAAATAAAATCCTGGAGTTGTGTTCCATGCAGTTCTCTATATATTAGCTATCATGAAAAAAAAAAGTCAATAAAAGAATTTTCTTCTCAAACTGCTACTTACTGTTAATGTCTCAGGGCATACATTTATGCAAAACAAGAAATTATCTCACATAAAGAATACTACACAGGTTCTGTCCAAATACAAGAAACAGTCTAATGAGCAAATATTTTTTTAAATGTGGTCAAAAATCACTCCTATTTTTTATGTTTCTCATTTCTCATCTTTGTCTCTTCTTTCTACTACCTTGCCCAGCCCAGTCTATTCTACTTCTACCTTATTTTTCTCACAATCATCAGAAGAAGTCATTTAAAAATCTGTGTGCATCAGGCTTCTCTGGATCTTGTTGAAAAAATCTTCAGTAAGAGAAAATACGGAATGTAGCGAGGGTATACACTTCCATTCCTAAAGGCTTCATTCTATTGCATTTCATGATTTATAAGATTACGTGAATAAGAACAGAGATTGCTTTTAAGTCAGAAAGCCTGGAATATGATGGCAATGCAAACTCACCAGCAGTGAGACAGACCACAGGAAAAACTCATCTTGGAGCCGTGGGCGCGTCTGGGCCATTCTTCCCCTTATCACCCCCTTCCCAGCATACTTCTCCCCTCAACTCCAGTGTCTGCTGGTCCACCAGGACTTTCAAGGACCTGACTCCCTGTGAGGTCATATTACTATGACCTCACATTTTCAGCAGTGTTTATTGTTGGGTTTCTGTAATGTTTTTACACCCCCAATAAAAACAGGAGGCAGAACACAGGGCCACTGTCTCTCAAGAGTATAAACAACAAAGGCAGCCCAGCCACTTGATAAAGCAAACTGGATGATCCTCTCAGCAGGGATAACACCCCATTTTGTTTCCTGAAATACACAAGACATTGTCCATCTAGTCTGTTGAGCATTAAATGCTTTTAGTAGCTGGAATTTTCCCTTCTTTTCTATGGTTTCCCTTTTTTGTCCTGATCAAGTAACTTCACAATCTCATAAGGTAAAATCCCTTTTACTTAAATGTAGAAAAGACTTGCTCTTTCCTGGGACCTTACACTTCCAAACAAATGTGCCAATGCTCTTTCATCAAAACACTCTATCACCAAGAAAAGGGACATATCACTCAATCTGGTCACCAGGCCTTTCCATAACCTTTTCATCCTACCAGAGTTACAAGATTTTCCAAATAAAAATAATTAGAACACTCAGTTAAATCTGAATTTCAGATAATTTCTTAGTATAAATAGGTCCCAAATAATACCCAGGGCATACCTACACCAAAAAAAAAAAAAAAAAAAATCACCTTTCATCTGAAATTCAAATTTAACTGTGGTATCCTCTATTTTACCTAGTAACCCTATCTTCTGAAATATTTGTTCTAAGTTTTAAGGAATTCCAATAATGACGTTCTCTGAGTGTCAACTGGTAGCATGTTTTACAATCATCTTCCTTCTTGGCTTGTTTTGACCCGCTTTTATGTTTCTATAGTTTCAATCACCATCTCCTCTTAGTTGCCTATGATCTACTGATTCTTCTCTAATGTCCTATAAGTACAAAAGGAGAGCTCTCTTTTCTCTGCATTTTCACTCTTCTTTTCCAACCTGTACATTACCCTCACAAGTGTGATAAATATGCATCATTTACAAAATTCTTAGATGAGACAAAATCCATGCTGTGGTATGTCATACAAAGCCCTGCACAAAACAGACCCCAACTGCTTTTTTCAGATTTTTCACCTGCCATATTCCTCAGAAATAACAGCTGTGCTCTCATGCCCC